AAGTTCTCAATCTGGAAAGGTATTTGAACTGTGGCATAAGCCTTTGAGATACACTGCAGACAGCTTTTCTAGAGAGATTTCTATTTCATAATGTTTCAGTTAAGAATGACTTGCAACTTTATCATGACTTGAACATATTTGAAATAACAGAGGGGATTATGTGTAAGGGACCTTCTCTCTGTTTGTCTTAAAATAAAAACCAGTAGTGAAAAATTCAGAGGACAGATATGAAAATTTGAACAGAGGCCCCTAAGCATGTATGGTCATTTTTCAGTTAAGGGATATTTTGGGGGCTTTAAGTTGTGTTTGGATATACCATTCACCCTCCCCCTCCCCCTGATTTGGCATCCAGATGATGTTTCAAACAAGTTTTATAACTGTGTTGACTCAGCTTTTATGCAAAGATAATCTCTGTATAACACCTAAATATTTAGTTAACTAGAAGATTGAAAAGCCTCTGAAGTGCTCTTATAACCAGAGCTAAAAATAAATGCATGAATCATATTTTGAATATTTTTAAAAATAAACAGTATAAACAGATTCTTTTTTCATTAACCTTCCTTGAATATTGTGACCTTGAGATATAAGTATGCTCATATGTAGGGGAAAAAATGTCATTAGAAAATTAAATATATAGAGAAAAATGTGCATGTTTGTTTTTAGTTCATGTTTCCAATGTAATAAGAAATGATTAAACTCACAGACTGTCGGAGCCAGAAGAGACCTTGACAATCATTTTGAACGTTTCTCTCATTTATAGAAAAAAAGGCCCAGAGAAGTAAAATGAATTCCCTGAATCACACAAGTGCGGTGGCGTAGCTGGGACCAGAACCCAGGGCTGCTGCCTCCTAATTTTATGCTCTTTTCATCATGCCATGGTATTATATGGACATTAGTAAGGATGGTATGATAAAAGCTCACATTTTATTTTATTCTATTTTATCATTCTATTTATTTATTTATTTATTTATTTTATCATTCTGTGTCAAACTTACTAGACACTCACTCCACTCAGTGTACTGGTTTTCCATCAGTGTAACAAATCACCACAAACTGAGTAGCTTAAAACAACGTCCATTCGTTAGCTCCTAGTCCTTCAGCTCAGAAATCTGGTGTGGTGAGTCTGGGTTCTCTGCTCAGGCTGGCTGTGCTTGGGGTCCTTTTCCAAACTCATTGCTGTGATTGGCAGAATTCGGTTTCTTGTGGTTGCGGGACTTGAGTGTACAAATCCTTGCTGGCTGTCAACTAGGATCCCTCTTCTAGAGGCAGCTCCCTGTTCCTCATCACGTGACTCTTCCATGTGCGGTCCAGCGACAGCATGTGGAATCCTCCCCGTACTTCAAATTTCTTCCTTTTTTAACTACCAGAGAAAATTCCCTGCGTTTAAAGAGTTCGTGTGATTCGATCAGGCCCATTTGGTTAATCTCTGTATTTTGAGGTCAACTGACTTGGGACATTAATTATATCTGCAAAACCCCTTCACAGTAGTATAATTCCTAGATAAGTGTTTGATCGAATAACTATGGGATGGAAATCTTGGGGGAGCCATCTTTAGAATTCTGCCGGCCACACCCAGCTTATCTGGTGGCTAAACTTTGGACCAACCCTACCATTGGTGGCACTGTTGTGAACCTAGAAATGAAGATGGGAAAAAACAAATATGTGGGATTGATGTACTTCTGTATTCCAAGGGCTCAGTGATGGAAATGGCCTCAAGGCAGCAATAACTGTCACAAAACCCATGCACTTGATTGTATAGAAAAGGCCGAGTCGCGCCCGATGGCCATAGCTGAAGTTGTCTCCAAATAAGGCAGCTGGGACAACCCGATGCAGGAAGAATTGATTGTTGGTAGCAGAGCAAAGAAATTAATGATAAAAGTGCAGTGATCTTGGTTTACATACCTCTGGCCTCCTCATAATGACAGAGCACCAAATAGTATTAATAGTAATGAACCCAAGTCAACAAAAAACGTGGAGTTTATATACTGAGTTTATCATCTATGAAATACGACAGTATCCCCTTATCCACAGTTTAACTTTCTGCAGTTACCCGCTGTCAACTGTGGTCCGAAAACATTAAATGGAAAATTCCAGAAATAATTCATAAGTTTGAAATTGCGTGCCATTCTGAGTAGCGTGATGAAATCTCCGGGAACATCAATCATCCCTTTGTCCAGCGCTATCCAACCATTAGTCACTTAGTAGCCATCTAGGTTATCAGATGAAAAAAAAACACATATATAGGGCTTG